CAAGCAAGGACGATTAGAAACCACTAAATGAAACCATCATATCCAAGCAAGGACGATTACGAATGGAATACGATAAACGACTCAAAACACGTAATGGAATTCGATCTTACTACTGGATTCATGGACCATAACTTCAATAGCCTCTCTGACTCACAACTCTAAAACCTATTTTCTCTTTTCTCATCCATCGAGAGTCGGGTGGGATGGATCCGGAATCGTCGGATTCGTGGAAAAACTATCGGATCCGGATTCGTGACCTCAGAATATCCGGTCTCTAGATATCCGGCCAAAAATCAGGATATCCGCGGATATCTGGATCTGAATCCAAAATTAATATTAAAAATAATTAAAATAATTAATAAATAAATAAAAATATATTTTTAAAAATTATTAGTTAAGATTTTAAATGATATTTTCATTATAAATATAATGTAAAATCAATTTTTATATATATTTATTTATATAAAATTAGTTTAATAGATGTATAATTTCACCCCTAATTGAAAGGCTAGCATGTCGTCTTTTTATCCTGAAAAAGAATGTGGTTGGTTGATCTAAGAAAATCAAGGGCTAGATCTGTGGTAATTTCTCATCTTGTTTTTTTTGGGTCAAGGCTACAACAGTCGGTCTGATAAACCTTCCATTTATTAATCAGTATATTATCTCTTGATCGTTTTACACTTCTTTCTCTTTGTTACTTTATATGCACGTAATACATGTTCTCCGTTTGATCAGATGGCTGTGGATATTCTTGTTTATGGAATCGACAATCCTGCACCTTCAAATGTCATTTTAATCTCCAAAGAAATCTCAGAAGATGCAGAGGTCTTTCGTGTCCTTCGAGATCTGAAATCCGCAAACTTCTTCATTAAATCGAAACTGCTACGTGATATTCTAAGTAAGTGAATCAGACGAAAGACAGAGATGGAAAAGCAGCAGAATGGAGGTTGATTCTTAGAACTAGCTTATGTGCCTAGTGTGAGGCTGAAGGTAGGGTTGGATAATAATGTTTTATCATAATTCAGATTTAACTACTAATATCATTCTTTGATAATTCACAACAAGAAAACAGCCGGATTTCCGACGGAAATTCCGACGGGCGAGAATTCCGTCGGAGTTTTCCGACGAAATTGCGACCAAATATAAACCGTTGGAAATCCGTCGGTTAATTCCGACGGAATACCGACGGTTTTATCTACCGTCGGTATTCCGTCGGAATTAACCGACGGATTTCCGACGGATATAAACTGTCGTAATATTCTG